GCAGTGGTGGGAAAAGGGAGAATTTGCCTCCATCGTCCACGGGATTTGTCTCTGTGCAGATACTTTTGCACGTACAGCTTCATGTAAGCCCAAGACAAGAGGCAGTTTGCCCACTTAAAGCATTCGGGCTAATCCCCTAGCAGCACATTAACTCAGTAAGATCTCATTACACTTAGAGCTAAGTATAATTCCTTTGCGTTTTACACATACACTTTTTCAGGTTTTGCTTTTTTTTAAAAAAAAAAAACCAAAACCTTACAGGACAATGAAGTTGAAGTTCACTATGGTATGCTTCAGAAGGACCTGTTTATTTTGTGTCTCATTTACAGCCCTGGACGGTTGTCCCTGATTTTACACATCATGCCCACTCTGCCTCGTTGTCAGCGGTAGCAGTGAATAGCAGATATGTGGTCACCGGGAGCAGAGATGAGACAATCCAAATCTATGACATGAAAAAGAAGATAGAGCATGGGGCACTGCTGCAGCACAATGGTAAGGGAGCTTTTCTTTGTAAAAAGCATTAACGATAGAAACTTATAGATGAGCTGAAAAACTGGTGCTTGCCAGAAGAAGAAAATTGAATTACTTTTTTTTTATTAAGTCTTTAATAGTGATGGTGTTGCTGCCACGACGGTCTGATGATACAAGCGAAGTAAGCTTTTGATCATAAAAATCAAAAAATAATTTTGTGTATTAGCTCACAAATATAGCTGCTGCTTCCAATTATTATTTAGTTTTAACTGTTTAAGAAATTATGGTCCACAAATGGCTCATGAGCCACTTTTATTCTACCAGGACAGTTTATCTAGACCATGCCAACAACCATCTTTCGCAGGGCCCTTGTCCTGTTACAGATGTACATGAGCCACACAAAAGAGAGAGTGTGTGTGTGTGAGAGCAGGCTGCTGCTTCCAGCAGAGTTAACCTGGCACTTTTCCCACTTTATGTGCCTCCTGAATTACAGCCATGAAATACATCAGTTAATGGCTGTCCAGGTAAACACGTTTGGGTCATTTGTAGCTTGATCCTGATAGTTCTTTTTCTCCTGATAACCAAGAAGTACATGGAGCTAGACTGAATGTGGTACCAGCGTTCAACTCGCGTGTGGTAATCTGGTGCTTATGGGAAGCAGCATGTGCGGTAAATTCAGCTGTGTGTCAAGAGCAGGGCTTTGGCCCAGGGGAATTCCTTATCACTGATAGAAGCTCTGTGCCACCTGAGCTGCAGTGGTTGAGTACTGCTGTTTCAGGGAAGGGACCGGATGAAGCTCAGATATGTATGGCTATACGGGGGACTGATAGAGCACGTCAGTGATTGAATATAACAAGGAAGTTCAGGGGGTTTGTGAAGAAATACTTCAGAAATAATTCAGATTTTCCCAAGGACAGGGTAGTAGCTGGCATGTTTTGATGCTAGAAGCTTCTCTGTTAATTCATACGTTCTCTGTGTGATAACTGTTCATTATGTGCAACATCATTAATAGGTCTGGTTTGTATTTTTAGGCACAATAACTTGTTTGGAGTTCTATGGTACTGCACATCTACTGAGTGGGGCTGAAGATGGACTAATTTGTATCTGGAACACAAAGAGATGGGAATGCCTGAAATCCATTAAGGCACATAAGTGAGTTTCTTAAATCCACATGTTCATGTACATTTTTTTGTTTATTTTCCTTGTAAATAATATATGTGGCTAATATGTTGTTTTGTTTTTGTCAGGGGGCACGTGACATCTCTTTCTATTCATCCTTCTGGGAAATTAGCTTTGTCAGTAGGAACAGATAAAACATTAAGGTGAGTCAAAACAGATGAAGGAATGCTGAGAATCATAATTCAGTAACTCTTAGTAAATTGTTACAAGCCACAGTTCGTTGTTGGGAGCAGGCCATGCAACACTGATGAAATGCATTTGGACATCAAATGGTTCAAAGATCTGTTGGTTTGTCTTTTTAAGTTCTAGGTACCAGCAATATTGTGAAGTCTTTCAAAAATAGTCCTTGCTGTTCCTAGCTTCTTGTTGTGCTCTGACTCTTTATAGTCAGGTGTAGATGTATAAATACGTTTGCATTTTGGAACACGATTTACTTAAACTTCTGAAAGCTGTCAGGTTTTGTTTAGCGTGAGAAAAGTAATTTTTCCATTGGAGTGTGTACATGTTGCTGTCTATATGTGTTTTAAATCTATAAAATGTTGTTGTAACAGCACATTGGTATTGGGCTCCTGGTGGGCTCTACATTGCAAACGGTGGTTTATAAAATAAATAGCATTAATTCAACCTTACAGTATGCAAGCGATATATGAAGTCATCGTTTTCTCTTGCATTAAGAAGGCAGTAAAATGCATAGAGATGCTTAAAAGCTTCATTTGGATGCCTCTTGTCAGCAGATAGGGCTTCAGTTTCACTGTGCTGTTTTTAACCAGAATGCACACTATCTACTGTTGTCTTTCAGAACTTGGAATCTTGTAGAAGGACGATCAGCCTTTATCAAAAACCTGAAGCAAAGTGAGTTTAAATTAGTCTACATCCCCTAAAAAAATGGAATTAGATAGTTTTATTTTTTTTGTAAAGAAAAGTAGACTGAATTAATCAACAAGTCAGTTAATTGCAAGCAACTTTAATGATGTCTTTTTTATACATGCAGGCAAGCATATGTAAGCTGAGATCCTTAATAATAATAATTTACCAAAAGGAAACTATAGTGACACTACAGGGGTTTTTTTCCCCAACATTTGATACCAGGACATTTAAATAAATGTGTTTTGTTTTGTTTTTCTTTATACGTGTCTGATAATCAGAAATAAACATTTAAGAGCATAGTTCTACTTGTTTATTCTAGGTTATTTGATTTTTTCCTGAATTTTTCTCAGGTTTAGGTAGAAAACAGTGTCTAGCAGCTTCTAAAGATTCTTGCTTTTAGATTCTCATGCAATACAGAGTACAAAAAACATGTGTACATGTGTATACAAATGTATCAATGTGTACAGATGCCCACATAATTAAATGGTCCCCTGATGGAGAGAAGTATGTGACCGTGATAACAAATAAAGTGGATATCTACCAACTTGACACAGCTTCAATCACTGGCACTATCACAACAGAGAAGAGAATTTCTTCACTTAGATTTATTACAGTAAGTACAAAAAAGAAAGATGCTGGGAAATGAACTGGTTTGAAACACATGAAATTAATCACGCTTGCATTTCTTTTTTCCCATTCCAAGGATTCTATCCTTGCCATAGCTGGAGATGATGAAATTATAAGGTTCTACAGCTGTGACTCTCAAAAATGCCTATGTGAATTTAAAGCTCATGAAAACAGGTATTCTGTATTTGTTTACTGTTTAAATATTTATGGCAATGCTGAGTACTCAGTAAAGTTCAATGATTTGTAATGTTTAACATATTTTACCATTGTTTTTGTTTTATTATAGGAAGTGAATTTATTTATGTGTTAAATTCCAAATTCGGGACAGACTTGTTTGCTTTTTAGTATAAGCACAAGTGCTGTGCTGTCCATGCATGTTACAAAAACAACAGGGTGTAGAATTACAAATATTACAGTTCTAAATTTAGGAGTGTGTTGTGTCTAAAGATACACACACACACACGTACACACTTCTGTGTGTGTGGTCTATGCATTTCTGAAATTGGGTACCAGTATTTTCCTGCAAGACCATCTAAAGAATGTTTAACCAGTCTTTACAGAATTGGACTCTTTAGAATGCTTAAATAAAACAAACCAGTTATACTCAGTGTAGACAATATGAGGGTAATCCCATATTCTCTGTTGTTGTTGGATACCAAATATTTGTCCAAATGCTGCTTTTAATTCATCAGAATGCAAAAACATTAGCTAAAATGTCATTGATGTGGTTAATAGTGTGTGCTTAGAAGTATTAAAGTGTTCTAAATTGAATCCTAACAAGCCTAGCAAAGCCTACAGTTCCTAGTGTAAATGACAGCACTCAAAACAGATGACTGTTCCAAGTTCTTGCCTGTTATTTGTGGGTTTTCTGTTCAAACTGATTTTTAGACTGTTGCCCATTCATCTTTAATATTCTGTCAGCTTACTGTTCTGAAGCAAACTGCCATACTATAAAGTAACCAAGTACTACATTTTCTTCACAGAATAAAAGATATCTATAGTTTTGAAAGAGAAGGACAACATGTTATCGTTACTGCATCCAGTGATGGTTACATTAAAATGTGGAACCTGGATCTTAATAAGGTTGGTCTATTAAACTGCTTGTTACATGTATGGAAAAATATCAGACAACCTAAATTGCAGACAGTTCTGTTATGATTAATTTTAAAACAGTGAGGAAATTTTACTTGAAGTCTGGATGTCTTGATCTCCCTTCATGTTATGTTATGTTCAGTAGAGATGTCTACTTTTATGCACTTGTGTATTTTTGTATCTTTGTAATTTTTTTAAACAAACTATAAAATCTGATGATACTATGGAGATCTCATTTCCTCTTTATGTAAAATCATGCTTCCCTCAGACCTACCTGACCAGACTTATGACTATCTAATTGGTTACATAGGCTCTAAGGAGTGCTGTGAATTTTTGTAGTGTTGATGACTGTTGCTACTCTTTTAAAAACACAATCTTTATGGTTTTGGTGTGGGGGTGGTTGTTCCTGTAGGGGGAAAAAGTCCTTTTGAAAAATTAAAACACATTAATGTACTGGGTACTTTTGTTTCCTGTATTTTCAAAGGGTTCTGAGTGCACTAACTTAATGCAAATTATTTTAGCTGTACCAAAAAATCCCTATTACTCTGGAGAAACTTCTGAAGCCGTTAACAATTTTTTTTCTGTGGGTCTATGACTCATCTAGTTATTCCTCGTGTTAAACTTAACCCCATGTGCCTGAAACCCACTGGTCTTGCTTGAAGCCATTGGGAGTCTTTTGTAAAACCACCACCAAGGAATGGTATCAGAACAGGAGTGTAACAATGTGACCATTAACCAGTATACAGCCTCTACATTCTAAACATTGTTAGGCACCAGAAATTAAGTGGAAGGTGGGCAGTAAGATACTTTCTCACTACAAATACTTAAGTAAATTTAAACAGAAATAAAATAACATTTAAATAATCTTTTTCTGTATTATCTTCAGATAAAAGATGTGCCATCTTTACTGTGTGAAGTCAATACCAAAGCTAGGCTGACGTGTCTTGCAGTATGGCTTGACCAAGCTTCAGAAACAAAAGAAAATTCTGATAAAGCTGAAACATCAGTTCAAGGTAATAGAACTGTGTGTATTTTTGGTTGTTAATGTGACTGCAAAATAGAATATACGAAGCGGGAGGTTTTTACTATATGCATTGGAAAAAGTTTGGTATCTTGAAGAACTGGGGCTATGACACTGGCAAGTGATACAGATATCCTTGCCAATCTGATAGTGTTTCAAGCCTGCATGTATGTTGGAGGAAATAAGCCTCTTTTCACTTCCATTATATGAAAGTTCTGTTTCTCTTTACTGGAACAATATACTGAGGAGGCCACTGTGAAGATTTTGAGACAGATAAGAAAAGAGTAAACATTTTGATATTACTGCATGTCTTATTTTCCTATAACAAAATTAGGTCTGAGGCCAATGTAGTTGGGCAAACTTAGGAAGTCTGGCTCAGCTGGGGTTTTTTTTGCTGCTGTTTTCCTGTATTGTAATCTATTTACATACTTGTTCTTAAGCTATTTTTGTATCACAGGCAAAACTAGCATAAATGGCACACTCCACTCTAAATAAAAAGATCATTTATGATCCCTTTTTTAAAATGAGATCCAAATAAGTCCCTGTGCCATCTTAGACTACAAAGACATAACCATCAGTGTGAATAATTTCTCACTTTTTTTCCAGCAAATGAAGATGAAAAATCATCTATAGTCAGGAAAAACAAAGTTTGTCGGACTGATAGAAGTGATAAAATGGCAAAAAGAAAGAGAAAAATTGCTCCAGAGAAGCAAAAATTGGAAGCTCCACTGCAAAAGAAGAAAAAGAAACGGAATAGCTCAGCATGAAGGGAGCTACTTTCTCTTCTGAATAAAAAGTAAATACTGGTGTTGCTGTAGTTTTTGTAAGGATGTAAACCTCTGACAGGACATATACCTCTGAACTGATCTGCTGCTTAACAGTAATGAATGTTTTTACCCTAGTAAATTGACTGATTGTCCTGAGAAATAGCAAAAGAGATGGCAACTTTTCCTAAGTGAATGAGGCAAAAATAAATTCGTAATATGTAATGTTTATATTTTTATATTAATAATAGCATATGCTTTTTAACTGGCTCTGAAAAAGCCAGCTAAAATGATAAAAATAGCTGCATCTGTCTCAGTTACATTTTTGTCTCACTTAAATGCATATTAAAAATACATACACTTTTTCATTTCGGCGTTGGAAATGTTACTGTTCATTTGACTTAAAATACAGTCTGCCTTTGTCATGCATTACTTTTCCTACTGTAAGATGGAACATGTTAAAATTACTTAAAATATGATGATCACATTCCATTCATATATTCACAGAAAATTGTACTTTCTAGTTCCTGACATGCAGTTATACATAGAGTTTATAAGCAAAATGTTTGGGTTTTTTTACTGTGTCCATGCGTAACAATACAGAGTTTATATCAATAAGGTTTTACTTTCTCTTCCCCCTTCCCATAGTATTTTTTCAAGTCCTTGATCTGAGCTGTACTGTTAAAAAAAAAAAATTATCTAATATTTGAAATGCTTGTCATGCTGATAAAATGTCACCTGCCTGTTTTGCATGTAAACAAAAAGTGAATTCCTGACCTTCTCAGTCAGTGGGAACAGGATTTTATCTTGTCTTATTACAAATACACAGTGGGAAAACCAAAGATGAGCTGGAAAGAACAAGGTCAAATAGCTGTACTAAATGTTCTTTTTATTTCTTTTAAAGTACGGCATTTTAATCTTGTTTTCTGCACTACCAGAGTACTCATTATTTTTTCTGTTTTAAAAGAGTAATTGGAATTATGCTTTATTCTGATTCACTTTAGTAATAATCTGTTCCTCCTTATTTGTGTAGCAAGAGAAAAGGTAGAGAAAATCAGAAAAAAAGATTGAGCCAAATCTGCAGACAGGAATGCAGGCTGTCTTAGGGATGTAAAATAGGATATTAACTCCAGCTCATCTCTGGATGCTCTGACACTGAAACAAAGCAAGCATCATCGGTGCTGTTACGAGATTGTTCATGTGGCAATGGCAGTGTTCTCTTGGAGGTGGGTGTCTGTATGCGTCTT